TTATAAGAATATCCTTGATTTAAATTGGATAATTATTTAATGTAGTATATTAATGATTATTTAGATGTCAGTTTTAATAGCCATATTATTGAAGATTTTGATCTACATTTTTTTAATAATCTAAATATTGAGTAAATTTTGTTAATATGATCTTTCATTTTAGAGATGACAGTCAAATATTATTGAATTTTTTAATCATGTGTATTTATCTTAAATGGCAAAGCTAGAGAGACTATTGAAATGCAGTGATATTTTAAAATTATACGAGGGGGGACCCAAAAAAAACCGAACTGAGAGCATGCTGCCATTTATATATGTAGTAGAGAGTTCTCCCATTAGATGGGTTTAGTAGAGACCTTCTTGAAACAGCTGTGCAGACTGCGTCACTTTGTAGGTTTACATTTGAGCATAGTGTTGTGTTTCTCTTACTGTTATTTTGTTCCATCTGCAAAGTTCTGAGCGTCCTTCAACATCTCGAAATGATGAAAACATTGAAAAAAATCTGCCAAAAAAGTTTTAAGACATCTGCGAGAGGATGTGCGAAGGAAATGCCCAGAACTTTGGCAATCAGGTGACTGTTAGAGCATTTTTCTAATGAAGTCATTATCTAATTTTTGAAATCGAGATATAGCATCCCAGTTTACTTTATTTGCATATTCTCGAATAAATTCCGAAGATAATGTTTGATGTGTAGAGATGAGTTTCCAATTAACCTTATCTTCATGTTGTCTTATAAAATTTTCAGAGAGCTTTCACGTTCTAATATTTTTTTTTAGTTCACATCATCTTTAAATTCATAAATAAAAAATTCAGACAGTTTTTCATTATGAATATTGAATCCTAATTAACTCTACCTTTAAATTCTCTTATAAAATGTTCTGATAACTTTTGAAATATTAAAATCAAATCCCAGTTAACTTTATCTTTAAAATCTCTTATTAGATTTTCTGTTAAATTTTCTTGTTTTGAAAAATTATCCCAATCAATAGCCCTCTTTATTCTAGAGTCCATTTATATAAGAAAAGAATTTTGACCTGTCTCTATTCAAATTTTATTAAATCAATCTCTTTTTATTTTATAATATCCTAATGCTAATGTGTTAATTCCATCCTCCAATATATATCTCTTATCATCATGTGGTGTTAACGCCTTCTTGTTCGCCTTCATAAAATAAATTTAATGATTTTTACATTCATTGTTCGGGAATGCTCTGTTTTATTAAACAAACAGTCTTTATAATCATCAAATGATATTCTATTTTTAACAACACATTTTTTTACTTCTTTTGATTTCTTTGTAACCTGATCTTCTACTTTTAAGGCATACATTTTTACTCTTAAACCAACAAATTCTCTCATTATTTTTCCATTATTTTTATATTTCATTTTACCTAACATCTTGTTATTAACTCTCAGTATACGATATTGATAATTCTAAGGTTAATCGGATGTATGAAAGTAATTGATCATTTCCTTCATGTCTTAATAAATGTCATGTGTTTTTATATCACATATATATAACTATCCGTATCCTGATATAACAATTTTATATTATCTCTGTATTAAGGTTTCATCACATTATAATGAAAATCATACATGAAATGCTTCGAAAGATCTAATATGCTTATTCCGAAATAAATGGGTTTTAATTAAAGACTATTTTTTTCTTATATATATGAATAGCACATAGGTTTTCAGTAAATATGGTTCGATGTTTAAAGTTTGGCTTTGCGATTAATTTTTCTACTTTTATAGTGTGACAACATAATCTTATTTTAACACGATATCTTATATTTTCCATTGTCTTACCAAACACAGAGTTGCTCATTAGTTTAAAAAAGTCCTTTTCAAAATCATTAGTTGCTTTAGTTCTCATTTCAGTGTTCAGATCTATGTATTTCTTTAACCAATCTGATTGCTTGAATTCTAATACTCTATGTATCTTTTTGAGTTTCATTCCCATTTTTAAATATTGTTTAAGATTTTTATAATGAAGCACATACTTCTTTTTATCATATAATGTGGTTAATTATTTAGATCGTTTTGATTCATCTGGTATTCTGTTCTCTGGAGCTAAAGGTAGATCAGAATGATAATAATGTAATTCTTTAGGATATTCCAAATCAACTACTAATATATATCCTTTTTCATTGTCATCAGGAATATTAATGAAGAAATCAATATTATTTTTCTCACACCATTTAAATCCACCATATGGTAAATATTGACTCATTCCCCAACCATATAGGTTATTTTCATCTAGATACATTAAATAATTTGATTCCTTGTTTTTATCATAAACTTTCATATACTTGTTAATTGCCTGGCTTATTCTAATACAACATTGGGAAATTCCTCCGCTTATCCCTTTTTCTATTTTTCCATATTTCGAAACTGTGTTGTATCTTTATATCTGTTTAAAAAACTGCAATGTAGCACAATAATCAACACATGGCATAACTCATTCATTTATTCCAGCTTTTTGTTGAGACGCGTTTCTACACACGTTTCGGGCTCCGTTTTTGCCCCTCCTCAGTCAACTAAAACATATAAAAACTAATTATATACATATTATAACCCGACATATGAATTAAAAAACGACAAAAATAAAAGTATATTTCGTTGGTATATACAAGTAAGACATAACATACCATTTTCTAAGTAAATTCCTTCTCTGGATGTATTTTTTTCCTTGAACGGGAATCATACTCTATATACTTGATTATTTCAGATACTAGGTTGAAGATTTAATCTTACTTCTTCATGCTTCAGACACAGATTGTCCTATTTAAACTCTACTATACTTTGAAGACTATAAAAACAACACAATTAGTGTACTTAACATGTAGGTATTAACAATATACAGGATTTTTTCTTACGTACTTAGTCACAGTAGAGTTCTTGAGGTGTCACAAAGGATTACAATGGACATATGGCAGAGTTCTTCTTTTTCCGTAT